GTGGTATATTAAAATATATTGGGAGTATTCAATTTTAGGGGGCGTGACGGGGTTGAATATTAGGGGGAGGGGATTATTCACTCCACCTGCATCTTTGTAGATGCATCCAATCAAGTTTTATGGGCCCAGGACGTATGCAGAAGGCAGTGAACATCCAGCAGTTATAGGAATGGATCCTTCAGGAGGGTCGATAGGATCAAGTAGACCATCTAGGCTGGCATGATTTTGTGCATGACATTACCGCTGCCGGAGCCTCGAGCCTGAAATAGTGTGCAACCTGCACACTTTGACTTTCCCTCATTTGTAACGTCTTTCGGTGCATTCCGAAATCAATTGCTTTCATGTCCGCTTTTCGCCTGGCGTGCCTTGCGTTGCCGTTCGGCGTGTGTGTTTGGCGGCCGGTTTCGGCGGAGCAGTCGTGCGAAGCCCCCATGCCGGCTAAGGGGGAGGTGCTTCTCCAACATCTGCAGCAGCGAGACCTGTTGACCTGGAGTTTGGGTTAAAAGACAAGCACGTAGGCTATGTATATGCATAAATGGATAAACCAATATGTACATGTATATATATGTCCTTCCAGAACCCTTCAAAGACAAAGGCCCCTCTGCCCCTTCCTCAACCCGAGCCACTGAGGAGAGGATGTTCTTGAGCCCAACCCCTTCTCCAACGAACAACACGCAGGATGCCGGAAGATGATAACACGGTGCCTGAAGCTGGGTTGCTAGTGATACCCGTGTTTAGGGTTTCGGGGTTAGGGGGTAATATAGGGTTATATAGGGATAATGGAAAATGACATGGAAACTACTATTTAGGGTTTACGGGTTTAGAGTTTAGGGTTCACGGCTCAGGGTTTTAAGATTCTGTCTTAAAGTAGCAACCACCAAACCCAGCCAGCCGCTTGATTGATTGTTTTCAGTTGTTTTCTGATTTTAAAAGCGATCCTGATTTGTGAGGTAAATGCAAACGCGATTTTTATTTGATTTTGGAGTGGGTCCAGAAGTGATTTGGAAGTGAATCTGGATTTCACTTATTGTTGATGTATTTTGTTTTTTCATTTTCCTCCCCGGCACGGACCCCGTCCCCAGACCCTCAGGCAGGCGGGGCATGACATTTTAGGACCTTTGAGAGGGCCTCAGGCGATTTTTATTTGTTCGAACATGTTTTGATTTTTGAGATTTATCTGATTTTTCTGTTTCCCTCCGCGCGGGGACCCTTCCGCAGCCTGTCAGGTAGGCGGGGAAGCCTCAGGCGATTGTTGATGTTTTTGAATAGTGTTTGATGTTGTTTTTCGACTTTGTTTTGTTTTCCCTCTCTGGCGGGGACCCCTCCACAGGCCCCCGGGCAGGCGGGGCATGAATTTTTTCGGAACTTTGAAGCTTGCGATGTTGATGTGTCTTTTGTTTTTTGGATTTGTTGTGGTTTTTTCTTCTCCGGCGGGGACCTCTCCGCAGCCTCCCAGGTAGGCGGAGCATGAATTTTTAGGAATTTTGAGAGAGTCTCAGGCGATTTTTGATCTTTTTGAATAGGTGTTGATGTTATTTGTCGACTTTGTTTTGTTTTCCCTCTCTGGCGTGGACCCCTCCGTAGGCCCCCAGGCAGGCGGGGCATGAAATTTTCGTAATTTTGAGGCTTGCGATTGTTGATGTTTTTGAATACTGTTGATTTATTTCTGATTTTAGTGTATCTTCCTTCCCAGCGCAGCATCCTTCCTGGCAGGCGGGGCTTGAAATTCTAGGGTTTTGACACATTCCGGGAAAACATCACCCTTGCCGAATGGCACAACCAGTTCAGAAACCACTTTGCCGACCACTTCCCATTTAAGATTCACTTTCCCGGCCAAACCTAAAATCAGAAATATGTCAGAAATAAAACCGAAGCTAAGATCCCTGAAAGATGACCAGTTGGTGGTTCTATGTTAAAGGTTCAGCATCACTATCCCCGAAGCAAACACAAAATTCTGTACTGGCTGGAATTACTGGTGCTTAGTAGGGAATAAGGAAATGTATCCCTATATAGTCCCCGAATGATGTATTCCCTTGTTCCCCACTAACCCCCAGAAAGTGGAGCCAATTGAGGGTTTGGCGTTTGTATGGTGTGGGGAAGCATCCCAAGGGGCCCTTGCTGACATCATATTTAAGAAGAGGATTTTGGTGGTTTTCAAAGCCCTGGGGCCCCTTTTGTGGAAGTTCCTCTACCTACACTACAATTTCGAGGATCCTGCTATGTTGGTTTGTGTGTGTAGTGGCGACCCTTGTGTTGAGAAATACTTGTTTCAGCAGTTTCAACAGGCTGTTTAGGTCAAATTTAATATTTCCTGGAGTGTGCTCTTGGTTTTTGCCTTCCTGGGTCCCAAGAAGAACAAAGCCTGTGACTGCGTCCGGCATCCCAAACATTGCCGAGGAACGCTTCCAAGTCAGACACCGAAAACAGCTTCTACAGCGCAAACTGGTCTGCTTGGCGGTTGGGCTTTGACGTCTGCTGCAACAGCCAGTTCTTGGGACATTAACCTGTGCCTTTTGTTTGCTTGACTTTGGTGTCCGCAGTTGCAGGACTTAGGACAACCATGTGAGCCTCATAGAGTCCTCATTATGAGGCGTGGGGCAAAACCCTGATCTTATGAACTGGGCAAATTACCACGACCGCCCGAGCTTATCTGCAGCGGTAGGAAATTGTCGGAAATTGCTTCGTTTCAGGTTCGGAAGCTATCATAAAGTGCCAGTATGAAGAAGTTCACTTTAACCCTAGACCCCAGACCCTAAACCCTAAGCCTTAAACCCCAACTCAGGTATAACGAGGAGCTGTGCCATGGCCTCGATGTGACCTTATTCGACTTCAGCAGTCGGACCTTTGGTCCAGGAGACCGGGTGAAGCCTCAGACAAGTTGGCAACCTTTCTTCAGTTTAGGGTTTAGGGTTTAGGGAATGGATCCTACAGTATCTCAATGCTTGGCGAGAAGAGAATTCTCGGAACCCCAGCTTCCAAACTTGGATCCTAAAGGTGTCGTATGAGCTATATTTCGAAGTCCTTCAGGGGGCTATATAGGCGAGTATATAGGGGAGTATGATAGGGGTTATTACGGGGGATACTGGGAGTTTAATCTATAGATCATATGGCTACAGCAAGGTACGGATTACAGGGTTTGAGTGCAACAACTTCTAGGGTTCAGGGCTTGGAAAGGTTTGGGGTATTAAAGCGCTGGATGTCGGAATTCGTGTGGTATGAGTTGGGCGCTTGGACCTTTCTGGTTGGCTAAAAACCCCCAAATGGGCGGCTTCTGAAAGGGGGTCCTATGGGACATAAGCCCAGAATGACCCCACTGTAATCATATATATATATATAGATATAGTCTTTCTGTAACCCACATCTAATCAAATTCCCAGCATGATTCTCGGGGATCCAGATTTGAGATCCTTTTGGGGTTCTGGGAAGGGATGTACGTATGGTGGGAATACTTGTAACTAGTGGGCGGCCAGCCTGCGAGAGCCCAACAGACGTAGTATGGTGTGTTTGCTTCATTCCGGATGTTTTGGCTCCAGAGACGCTGAACCCAAATCTCGCCCTCTCATTTCCCAGCCTTGAGCCCGAAAGCCTCACAGACAGAGAATGCGTCTGAGGGAGAAGGCTTTGGCCCCTCATCCCTTCACCCCAATCGTCCATCCAATCCTTCAAGCCTCTAACCGGGTTGGAGGTCTGAATGGAGACTACTATAGGTACCCATTGGGGTTATACTGGGATAATGGAAAATAAAACGGAACCTACTATATGTGGAGGGCCAGAGGGCTGGAGGGTGGGGGTTGGAGAGCGGAGGGTGAGCGCCCAGCCCTCCAAGCGTTTGAAGACTGCGAGTTGGAGGGTTGGAAGGGGGTCCCAGGGTTGGATGACCCCCCAACCCTCCAACCCTCCTTTCAGCTGCCCTAGACATCCAACTGGGTTTGTTCCCAAAATTATGGGCCCCTTGTGGCTATAGATTATATTACGGCACTTAATATTTAGGATACCAAAATGCTAAATCAAACTTCGAGGCCTTTAGCCTTTGTGTCCAGCTTGCCGATGCTTTAAGAGGTTTTTGGATTTAGGGTTCTAAACCCAATGCCCCAAACCCTAAACTTAAGGCTTATTTGAGGTTAAGTCTAGGGCCCAGCCAGCCTCAAATGCTTCGGAGGTAGTGCACCACATCAGTTTTACAGCTTTTCTGTTCAGATGTCCCGCTGCTTAGAGGTAGGTTTAGGGGTTTGGGGTGGTTTATTCAGGTCCTTACCGGTCATTATGTAGGAGATACTTTGAGGAACATCGGGCCTCAATGACCTTACCGCTGCTAAAGGAGGAGAACCCTAAACCTTAAACCCTAAACCCTAACCATATTCCATACTCCACTCCCTTACAGCACTCCTGCACCCTAACACGAACAAGGCGATCTTCGTTAGCTGGCAATTTAGGGTTATTCTAGCCCTAAACCCTAAATAGTAGCTTCCGTGTTCTTTGCCATTATCCTTAGATAACCCCAATGTAACCCTCCTAATAGTACCCCAATGGATACATAAAGGCCTAAATGCTCAAGCAGACTAGTGAGGAAAGACACACCCGACCCGGCACTGGCCGATTTCTGCCAGGAGGCACTGATTATTCGAAGGGAGGATTCAGGGTTTAGGGTTTAGGGTTTTGGGGTTGGCATGTAATCACTCTTGTTGTTGTACCTGCATCTCATTACTGCACGTATTTATTGATACCCCTGTTATTGTTAGAAAACGGGGGGACCCTGGGCGTGCGCCTTCTACGTGTTTTGCGCATTCTTTTTGGAAAATACACCTAAAGCCATAAGCAATCAATAGAAAGCACAAAACAACATCAGATCAGAAAACAGTAAAAATATGTATTAAAACACATTAAAAGCCGAAAATACAAAAA